TATATATGACCTTGCCCGCTAAATATATGACCTTGCCCGCTAAATATATGACCTTGCCCGCTAAATATATGGCCCGGGCCAGGTCATATATTTAGCGGGCAAGGTCATATATTTAGCGGGCAAGGTAATATATTTAGCGGGCAAGGTCATATATTTAGCGGGCAAGCTCATATATTTAGCGGGCAAGGTCATATATTCAGCGGGCAAGGTCATATATTTAGCAGGCAAGGTCATATATTTAGCGGGCAAGGGCAAGGTCATATATTTAGTGGGCAAGGTCCCCCCCCCCACCCCCCCCCCCACCCCCCCCCCACCCCCCCCCACCCCCCATCCCCACCCCCCCCCCACCCCAACCCCCCCCACCCCCCCCCCCCCCCCCCCACCCCCGCCCCCACCCGCCCCCCCCCCTCTGGAGCCATCAAAAGAGTCAAGCGATTCAAGATGGCTTCCAAAGAATAAGTTTCCGAATGACCGCGCCTGTTTTTGAGGCCCCTGAAGCCCCTCAAACGACTCAAGAACTCAAGATTGACTCAAGATGGCTTCCAAAGAATAAGTTCCCGAATGGAAACATGTGGTTAACAAATCCATTCTGTTGACCACGTTGGTTTTCTTGTCCGCTTGAAACAGAAACATGTGGTTGACAAATCCATTCTGTTGACCACGTTTGGTTTTCTTGTCCGCTTGAAACAGAAACATGTGGTTAACAAATCCATTCTGTTGACCACGTGCCTAGAGAAGAAGGAGGTTGGATATTTTTCCTAATGGTGTGGGACCCAATGGGCGGGTGGGTATTCCCCTGTGGCCTTGAAAGCTGCTCAACTAGTGAATGCTTGGACCAGAGATGCTGAACCCTAAACCCTAAACCCTAAACCCTCCACGTTGGCTCTCGGGTGCAAATGTCGTCATGTCTAGACAACACCCCCCCCCCCCCCCCCGCCCGCCCCGAAGAGAACTGGGCTCTGCTCCCCTTCCGTTTACATGAACTGCCCACTGTGCATTTTGGAAACCTCTTCTGTCTCTTCGTATGTTCTTATTATCACAAATATATGTTTCATTTTTCCCCACCCTCGGTGTGGGGTTGTTAGATTTTAAACTCAGCTCTTCTCCTCGCCCGGAACTCTTCTCCTCGCCCGGTCTACTCCTCGCTCATCCCTGGAGTGCCCAACCCCAAAGTGTCCTGGAGTGCCCAACTCTAGAGTGCAGCCCAACCCCAGAGTCTTCCTAGGGTGCCCAACCCCAGAGTGTCCACCGGAGTGCCCAGTGCCCAGTTCCAGAGTCTCCCTGGAGTGCCCAACCCCAGAGTCTCCCTCGAGTGCCTAGCCCCAAAATGTTGCTGGAGTGCCCAAACCCAGAGTATCTCCAGCAAGAGAGGGTGGGGATGTTCGAAGTAAAATAATTTCTTTTTTGCTTTGTTGGTCGTCAGGATACGGGTGTTTATTCCTCTGTTTCTCTTTGCTTCTGCTTCTGCTGACTCCTCCTCCTCCCCCTCCTCCTCCTCCTGTCCCCTTTCTTGTTGTTTTCTTTCTTCTGAATACGTCAAAAGTCGACCTCGCTCGTGCTCTCTTTTTCTTATTATTCTTCTTCCTCTTCTTCCTCTTCTTCCTCTTCCTCTTCTTCTTCTTCTTCTTCTTCTTCTTCTTCTTCTTCTTCTTCTTCTTCTGCCGGGCCTAGGGGGCAAGCCCCCCGCGCGTGCAGGCGCGCCCAAAGCTCGTGCTCCCCCTCTCTCTCCCTCTTTCCCTCTCTGCCCTGTGAGCAGACATTTTCTGAACTCGGCCCGGTGCGTTGAAGGTGGTGGTGCTGCACTTGCCACGCAGCTCCAAGGCCTTCGTGACGCGAGCATGGAGATGTACCCTCTCTGCCTCCTCTTTTCTTTGGGACCTGCCCGAACCACTTGGCACCGCCCAATACCTAAACCCTAAACCCAAAACCCTAGACCCTAAAATCCCTCCACGCACCCCTTTCTCCTTTCTGGGACTTTGGGATCTTCCGCAAAACCCCTGCTCCAAGCCCTCTTCCCTGAACTCATGATGCGCGTGGCGCACGCTACACCCTGCGTTGGGCCAGCCCCGCTGCCAGCGGCGCGCGCACGCATGTACAAGTAAGGTTTAGGGGCCGAGAGATGAGGGTTCAAAGGCTGGACCACGGGATTTGGACGTCTCGGGCTCGGGGCGAGCCATTTTGGGGCATCACCGCAGCTGCTGGCATCCTAGGCTCTCATCACCGGGCCTGCAAGAGCACAAGGGCATGGGCCCACTCGCCAGCATTGTCACAGGCGCTGATGGCCGCGTTGTAGGAGGCCTCTGCTGAGGCCGGATTGAGGGGAACGGGCAACACATCGCAGGAAGTCATCAAGTCATCACCTATTTGGCGGTCTACGAAAATCAGGGACCCCCAAAAAAATCCCGCAAAGAGTAGGATTCCCTGAAAATAAGGACCCCAAAAAGGTGCCCCTAATTTCGGAAAGCCCCAGTGACCCAGTGAGGTTTGAACTGTCTGAACCAGACTCCTGGCATGAAGCCCAGAGGAGCCTTGAATTGAGATGACTCGTCTTCTCCACCCCTCTGTCTCGGACTGGCCGTTGCTGATGGTTTAGGCCTTAGGGCTTAGGGCTTAGGGCTTAGGGCTTAGGGCTTAGGGTTTAGGGTTTAGGGTTTAGGGTTTAGGGTTTAGGGTTCAGGGTTTAGGGTTTAGGGTTTAGGGTTTAGGGGCTTGGGACTTGGCTTCCCTTATCCGGGGGAAAGCCCGTCCACGAAGCCCTTTTTTGAAACCCAAGATAAAAGCCCTGAACCCCAAAGAATGCTGCAGTTGCTTCCATCCCATGCAAGCCCCACCCAAAACCCTGAAAATCCTAAACCCTAAGCCCTAAACCCTAAACCCTAGACAATCCTGGCATCCCTGGCCTCCGCCTCAGCGTCGGCCCGAGTCCTCGCCACAAGAGCCAGTGCCTCTCCGGGGTTCAGGAGTTTGAGGGGTTTAGGGGTTCAAGGGTTTAGGGTTGAGGGTTTAAGGGCTCAAGGGTTTACGGGTTTAGGGTTTAAGGGTTTAGGGTTTAAGGGTTCAAGGGTTTAAGGGTTTAAGGGTTTCAGGGTTTCAGGGTTTGAGGGTTTAAGGGTTCAAGGGTTTAGGGGTTTAGGGTTTAAGGGTTCAAGGGTTTCAGGGTTTAGGGTTTAAGGGTTCAAGGGTTCAAGGGTTTCAGGGTCTAGGGCTTAGGGTTTAGCGCAGAGCGGAGGCTTGTTGCGCGATTGCGTCTCCGTTGTTTTGGGCTGGGGCCCGAGGATTTTGGAGTTGGCAACTGCTTGGATGCGCATGCTCTCTTTGGGGGTGGAGGCTTCTGCTTTGGGAGCCTCAAGCTTCTTGAGGAGTTCGGATTCCATAAAGCCCCAAAACAACTCGACCACCACAGACCCCGAACCCCAAGCCCCTCAAGCCAGAACCTGGGGCCAGGCAAAGGCGGCGGCGCACGCCTAGAAAGCTCTCTGGCTCTCGGGAATGGGAGGTTTGCTGCCGGGAGTTCCATCACGTGGTTCTTGGCTTGTCCGAGCTTTGGCCGTTCACTGCGTGCCTACAAGGTGGCTTCATGATCGACATGGCGATGGCATCTTGGCTGACTTGGAACTTTGAAACTCAAGGTTACCAAATTAACTTTAAATTAACCCTACATCTCTACGAACTCCAAAGCGTGCGAAGAAGTTCGTCACAGCCCAAAAAAGGACTTAGGCGACATGTTAGAGGACATGTTACGGCGGGCCAAAACTGATGGCCATGTCTGACTCGGCCTGAGTAACCACAGCCCTGCACAAAGACGAACATCCTCCTGTGCCGGGCAGGGCACGGTGATGGCAGCGCAGCGAGCAGTCTCCGAGCTGATGCACGCAACGTCGGCCTGCTTGCGCTTGGGGGCACTCTCGGCTTCCGTGGCCTTTCGCGAATACAGGGCTTAGAGCTTGTGGTGATGTCGGGAAGGCTTGAGTGCATGGTACCTGCCTGTTTGCAGCATGGATTTGTAGGGGAGACTGCACATCAGAGCTTTTACCAGTCCTCGAAATTAAGCCAGGCCCTGGGCCGTAAGCCCGAACTGTTCGATTGTCCCAACAAAGCCAAACTCTTTAAGGCGATCCAACACAAGCTCATCTGACGCCGGAAGGTCACGAAATCTCGGCGAACCACTGGCAGCACAGAATCTCACAACACACTGAGACAATCTGATTTAGGGGTACACTTATAGGGGTCCTTGTTATAAGGGGATCCTACTATTTGGGGGTCTAAAGTAGTTAGGGGCCCCTTTACGATCCTGAACCCCCAGATCTTGGATGGCCCGTTGATTTCCCCATGTTTTAAAGAGTTCGGGTGGGGAACCTGGATCACGTCAGCCTTACAAGTTGGAAGCGCTTGGAGAACACGCCTCAAGGAGTTGCTTTTTGCCATCGTCGGCATCACCTCTAAGCCTTACAAACAAGAAAGCCTGGCAAGGGGACGCAGTACTGTCATGTTTCTGCCCGCAGACATCCGCCACAGCAAAGAAAGGTATGCCGAACCAGGAACAACCGCGATGGAGTGAAGCCAACTGTCAGCCTCTTGAAGAGCTTGGAGCGCTAGCCGCCAGCGCGTGGCTCGGGCTAAGGCCTGGGCAGTGCTTCGCTGACAGGCCCAAGACGGGGGTTTAGGGTTTAGGGTTTAGGGTTTAGTGTTTAGGGTCTAGGGTTTAGGGCTTTTCACCAGGCTTTTCAGTCTCCAGGCGACCCACTCGAGCCTGGAGAAGCGGCGCCACGACTCTGAACACGAAACTAAACGAGCCCACAATCCCTAAACCCTAAACCCTAAACCCTAAACCCCACAAGTTTGAGGTTCAGAGTTTGAGATTCGAAGGCTTTAGGGCACAGCCTTCACATTTCAAGTTCAAAGTCCAGGGTCTCTCCCGCCTAGAGCGCCAGGACCTCTTGGGTTGTATGTGGCTGGGGCAGCACTGCAAAGCCATGCGGCACTGAGAGCTGCAGCGCATGTCACCTCGTTGCTGCGGAGGCCCTCAATGTCCAGTTGGTGCAGAAGCGCCTGGGGGTTCTGAGCTTGAAGGTTCGGGTTGGGTGTAGAGGCCGTGGGGATCTCGACATAGATAGAGTCCGCCCACCACCACCCTTTCGCGACCTATCGTCCGCAGTCCCCGGCGCTTGGTGTTTGAGGATGTCGGCATATTTTCGGGATGGCTAGAGTCAGATCAAGTCGCACTGCAGGGAACAACGCGCGTTACTATCATCAAGAAAGGTCATTCTTTCGTTCTGGTTTAACATTGCCGTCAGGCTCCCACAACGGCTTTTCCTCCCCAGTAGAGGCTCCTAAGCAGACCCATGCACCCCTCCAATTGGCAGGCTTCAGGTGCGGAATCAGATGGCGGGAATGGAATCTAACTACTGCATGGCGTCTCGAGGGTTTTGGAAAGTGGGGTTTTGAACGATTTTTTGCTACTGCGAACCAAGGTAAAGAGGTGTACGGAGGCATAGACAGCGCTTCGGGTCTCCCTGGATTTGAACCCTAAACCCTAAACCCTAAACCCTCAAACTCAGTCTGTTTGGTGAAAGCTATGTTAGGCTCTAGGGATCCTTCTTGCATGGCCGGCTGCGTAGGCGCTCCGCCACTGTGTGCCTCTTCAACGCAGAGTTGGACATCGCCAAAGGATTTTAGAGGGATGCTGAGGCGCAGAAATAGGGTTTAGGGTTTAGGGTTTAGGGTTTAGGGTTTAGGGTTTAGGGTTTAGGGTTTAGGGCTACTATCTACACAATCGCAAGGCTTCGGCGACTCGCTGCAGGGTCCGAGGTCTGGCTCAGTTCAGCTTCTCTTTGCCCTCGCTACGACGCACATTGAGTGCTTCAGGCTCAAGCAGGGCGGCTGGGGTTCAAGGTTTGCCTGATGCTCATAAAGTCTTTTTTTCTTCGTCTAAACCTACAACTTTGCGACGGCACGCCTCTTTGTTTTCCATTCCAACTTGGACCCTTGGGTTTAAGACCGAGGTCCGCAACCGTTTTTTAGGGTAGTTACATGGTCCCTTAGTATGGACCCTTCAAGGGGGACCTTTTAGATACTCCTTGTATACCTATACAACCCAAGGGCCCATACTTCAGAACCCTTTGAAGAATGTAAGGGACCATTCTTAAGGGACCATGCACCTACCCTTAGAAACCCTCAAGGACAACCCAGGACTCTTAGAGGACCTGCATGGGTCTACAGTTTAGGGTTTAGGGTTTAGGGTTTAGGGTTTAGGGTTTAGGGTTTAGGGTTTAGGGTTTAGGGTGCCCTGTGCAACCAGCACCAGCACAGGCACCTTTCTCGCAGGCACTGATGCTGGCTCCGTAGATTCCCACGTCCCGCGCGATGCCTTTCCAACGGTTTAGGGTTTAGGGTTTAGGGTTTAGGGTGCGGAGCTGCAACTGGTATTGTAGAAAAGAGTTAGTGTTGGGGGTTGGAAGGGTCAATGAACCCGGAAATCTTGTATGGCTCAAGATGGCCAAGAGCCGTCAGCTTTTGTTGAAAAAGTACGTACGTCTGGGGTTGGGTTTAACGGGTTGGAGTAGTCCCGTCCCTTCTCCCTTATCCTGTCCCCGTAGGGGTGGGTGTTCTTGTTTCTGGTTCGATCTGGGAAATCCATATAGGCGACTGTTGAGGGTTGGTTTCTTTTCCTGTTCCCTTTCGGTTGCCCCCGTAGGTTATGAGCCCAAGTTAGGTTCCCTGCGGTGGTTGAGTGTTGTCTTAAGATCTTTGGGATCAAGAAGCAATGCCTTCTCCCAAGCGATGGCTCCAACCTTCCTCGGATGGTGGACAGAATGGTGGAGCTGGAAATGGTGCAGCTGAGTCTCTGGGTGAAAGAGCGGTGCTGGAAGAGGTGATTCCCGGCGCTGAAGAACATCTGGAAGAAGCCTTGGTTGCGGAAAACCCCAATGTGGGTATGAATCCCAATGTGGATATGGTTAGCAATGCTGAAGCTGAAGGACGTGCTGTCTCTGTATCGCCAAAGCCTGGTGAAAAAAGGAACTGGGACGCGACTGGTGGTATAGATCGTGAAATGGAGGTGACTGTTTTACGAGTGTTGCAAAAACATGGGTATCAGCCGTCGACTTCGACTTCGGGCCGAATGGTAGACCAAGGGTCTCAGACCGATCTGATTGGAGAAGTGCTGCAAGCGGCCAGGAGGCCTCTGAACAAGATTAAAGGGGATCCCTCTTCGAGTTCCCAAGGTGGTGGAAGCGGTTACGAACAGAAGGGTGCGGACAGCTTTGAAGCTGCACCAGCTGCTGAATACGCCATGGGGGAGGAGGAGATCTTACCGATGGAGGCTGAAAGGTTGCGACAGTTGTCAGAAGAAGAGGATGAGATGCGTCAAGTCTCTGAAAGGGATGGTTTTCGGAAAGATGAGCATCTGATCAAAGCGTGGACAACGTGGGAATGGCACCTCCATGAAGATGGGAGACAATATTACTACTGCCTGGATACGCAGGAAAGCAAGTGGACGTTGCCGGTTGTAGGTGAAAAGATGAAGAGTGACGAGGTGGTTGCCTGTAAGATCCTTTGCGTGTAATTTTACACGTTCGCCAAATTTACACGCAAAAAACAGTATAATTAATTTATACTCAAAATTGGTGTGTAAAAAATTTACACGTTTTAGTGTAAATTTTGGAGTGTAAATTACACTTTTTCGTAGTGTAAATTACACTTTTACACTTCAAAATGCGGGTGTTTTGTAGAGTTACATGTTTATATATTAAGAAAAAAACATGATTTTCCGAGTTGCAGATGTGACTGTGGGCACAGATTTCCCAAATTTCAATGTTGTTTCGACCGAAACAACAACAGTCACAGATAACAGCCATAACGAAAACACCAAAAAACCCAAGCCCAAAACCCAAAACCCTAAGCACAAAACCAAAAAGAACAAAGCACTGAATCCAAAACCCAGCCCCAAAACCCAAATCCTGAGCCCGAAACGTTGAATTTGTGGTAAAATTGTTTTGTTTTTCCACAGGAACCATTGACTTTTGCAACAATTCTAGAATTTTGTGTAAAAAAATGTGCTTTTCAGCAAAACGTTTTGATGTTTTACAAAAAAACTTTCGATTTGGTTTGGTAAAGGTGTGCGATTTGTTGACAAATATTTTTTTGCTAGAAATATCTAAGTTTTTCCGAAAAAAATCGTAACCAAAAAATATCTAGCTTTTTTGAAAAAAGTCTTGATTGCTCTTAATGTTTTGTAAAGAATCTAAACTCCCAACCCGCAAACCTAAGCCCCAAATCAAACACCCTAAGCCCCAGCCCCAAGCCCTGAGCCCGAAACCCAAACACCATAAGCGCCAAACCCCAAACCCTGAGCCCCCAACCCATAACCCTAAGCCCGAAGCCCCAAAAACCTATCAGCCCAAGCCTCAAAACCCCAAGCCCAAAGCCCCAATCCTAAACCATGCGCCCGAAACCCTGGTTTTGAGCTTAGGGTTTTGGGGTTTAGGGCTTAGGGTGTTGGGTTTAGGGCTAAAGGTTTTGGGATTTATGGCTTAGGGTTTTGGGTTTCGGGCTTAGGGTTTTGGTGTTTAGGGCTTAGGGTTTTGGTGTTTAGGGCTTAGGGTTCTGTGTTTGGGCTTAGGCTTTTGGGGTTTGGGTCTAGTGTTTTTGGGTTTGGGGTTTAGTGTTTTTGGGTTTGGGGCAGGGTTTTGGGTTTGGGGCTTCGGGTTTTGGTTTCGGGCCTAGGGTTTTTTGGGTTTAGGGCTTTGGGTTTTTGGGCTTGAGGTCTCAGGGTTTTGGTGTTTCGGGCTTAGGGCTTTGTGTTTGGGCTTAGGGTTTTGGGGTTTGGGTCTAGTGTTTTGGGTTTGGGGCTTAGGGCTTTTGGGTTTGGGGCTTAGGGCTTTGGGTTTGGGGCTTAGGGTTTTTGGGTTTGGGGCTTAGTGTTTTGGGTTGGGGCTTAGGGTTTTTGGGCTTGGGGGTTAGGGTTTTGGGTTTGGGGCTCAGGGTTTTGGGTTTCAGGCTTGGGATTTGGGTTTTGGGGCAGGGTTTTGGGTTCTGGGCTTTGGGTATTGGTTTAGCGCTTAGGGTTTTGGGGTTTTGGGCTTAGGTTTTTTGGTGCTTGGGCTTGGGGTTTGGGTTTCGGGTAGAAACTTTTCTTTTTGTTTGGGGGCTTAGGGCCTTAGGGCTTGGGGTTTGGGGCTTAGCGTTTTGGTTTCGGGCTTAGGGTTTTTGGGTTTGGGGCTTACGGCTTTGGGATTGGGGCTTAGAGCTTTCGGGCTTTAGGGTTCAGGGTTTTGGTGTTTAGGGCTTAGGGTTTTGGTGTTTAGGGCTTAGGGTTTTGTGTTTGGGCTTAGGCTTTTGGGGTTTGGGTCTAGTGTTTTTGGGTTTGGGGTTTAGTGTTTTTGGGTTTGGGGCTTAAGTTTTTGGGATTGGGGCAGGGTTTTGGGTTTGGGGCTTAGGGTTTTGGTTTCGGGCTTAGGGTTTTTTGGGTTTAGGGCTTTGGGTTTTTGGGCTTGAGGTCTCAGGGTTTTGGTGTTTCGGGCTTAGGGCTTTGTGTTTTGGCTTAGGGTTTTGGGGTTTGGGTCTAGTGTTTTGGGTTTGGGGCTTAGGGCTTTTGGGTTTGGGGCTTAGGGCTTTGGGTTTGGGGCTTAGGGTTTTTGGGTTTGGGGCTTCGTGTTTTGGGTTGGGGCTTAGGGTTTTCGGGCTTGGGGGTTAAGGTTTTGGGTTTGGGGCTCAGGGTTTTGGGTTTCAGGCTTGGGATTTGGGTTTTGGGGCAGGGTTTTGGGTTCTGGGCTTCGGGTATTGGTTTGGCGCTTAGGGTTTTGGGGTTTTGGGCTTAGGTTTTTTGGTGCTTGGGCTTGGGGTTTGGGTTTCGGGTAGAAACTTTTCTTTTTGTTTGGGGGCTTAGGGCCTTAGGGCTTGGGGTTTGGGGCTTAGCGTTTTGGCTTAGGGTTTTTGGGTTTGGGGCTTACGGCTTTGGGATTGGGGCTTAGAGCTTTCGGGCTTTAGGGCTCAGGGTTTTGGTGCTTAGGGTTTTGGGGTTTGGGTCTAGTGTTTTGGGTTTGGGGCTTAGGGTTTTTGGGTTTGGGGCTTAGTGTTTTGGGTTTGGGGCTTACGGTTTTGAGTTTAGGGCTAAGGGTTTTGGGGCTTAGGGCGTAAGGTTTTTTTGGGTTTCGGGCTTAGGATTTGGGTTTTGGGGCTGGGTTTTGGATGGTTTTGGGTTCAGGACGTTGGGGTTTTGGGTTTGGTGCTGAAGGTTTTGTGTCTTGGGCTTAGGTTTTTTGGTGTTTGGGCTTGGGGTTTGGGTTTCGGGTATAGAAAAAAGGTTTTTGTTGCTTGGGGACTGGGTTTGGGATTATGTTTTTTTTGCAAAAAACAAACAATTTCATGAAAAAAATCTTTAAAAATCTGCGAAAAGTGTATACAAAGTTGGTTGCAAGTGATGGGTTTTTATCAAAAAAAATGAGGTTTAGCTGAGAAACGGTGGGTTTTTGTGTAAACTGTTAGGTGTTTTGTCCCAAAAACCTGTTATTTTCTGAAAATCTGTGAGTTTTTTTGCAAAAACTATACACAAATCAACCGAAAATGTAATTTTTTCTGTAAATTCCATTGTATTTCAAGCAAAAAATATTAAAAACGACACAAAAATCAACGAAAAATATACAATTTTACGCAATTTTGATTGAATTTTGCTTACACTTTTGCCAAAAGTGCATACACTTTTGCCAAAAGTGCATACACTTTTGCCAAAAGTGCATACACTTTTGCCAAAAAGTGCATACACTTTTTGCCAAAAGTGCCTACACTTTTGCCAAAAGTGCATACACTTTTGAAAGTGTATACACTTTTGGCAAAAGTGTATGCACTTTTGGCAAAAGTGTATGCGCTTTTGGCAAAAGTGTATGCACTTTTGGCAAAAGTGTATGCACTTTTGGCAAAAGTGTATGCACTTTTGGCAAAAGTGTATGCACTTTTGGCAAAAGTGTATGCACTTTTGGCAAAAGTGTATGCGCTTTTGGCAAAAGTGTAAGCAACATTCAATCAAAATTGCGTAAAATTGTATATTTTTCGTTGATTTTTGTATTGTTTTTAAATATTTTTTGCTTGAAATACAATGGAATTTACAGAAAAAATTATATTTTCGGTTGATTTGTGTATAGTTTTTGCAGAAAAAACTCACAGATTTTCAGAAAATAACAGGTTTTGAGGACAAAACACCTAACAATTTACACAAACATCCACCGTTTTTCAGCCTAACCTCAATTTTTTGAGATAAAGACCCATCACTTGCAACCAACTTTGTATACACTTTTCGCAGGTTTTTAAAGATTCTTTCATGAAATTGTTTGTTTTTTGCAAAAAACCATAATCCCAAACCCAGTCCCCAAG